TGATGACGGCGATGACGACGGCGACTACTTCGAAACGTAATGCGCGACAACGATGACGTTCGGCGCTCCATGTAAACACGGACGCGTGTGCCAAGACAAAACGGAAATGATCGCGTATATGTAATACCTCGCGTTTTTGCGTTTCACGCGAACTCGGAAGCGGCCCAGACAGGAAGGACAGAGGGGAAGGGAAGGGGTCGCGCTGTCAGAGCCGGTGAAGTAGCGCGCGTGCTACCTGTGTTTTGAAAGAAGTGTACGACCACCGCACCAGTCTATGCCGCACTGCTACGCCGCGGTCAGGTGTTTGAAGCCGACCGCCACGCGATTGCGTCGCGACATCTCCCGAGCGCTCACCGAAATGGCGGCCGCCGTTGCCGCGTGCCGCGATCGCCTCTCACGTGTGAGTTTCTCGCGCCCGCTCGACTACGCTCGGCCACCCCCGCCGTCACGTGGGTCTTTGCCCGCGCATCGACTCCAGGCCAACTTCATTCATAGACGCGCGACCGTATATATGTACGTGCACTTTATTCCGCACGTGCGCGCTCATCCCGAATATTTTCTGTGTGCGCATGTACATACACACAGACAGAAAAGTATATGTAAATTGTCAGAAATAACGCATGAAAATATTTTTTTATCTATCTCAAAAAATAGATAAAAGAAAAAACAATACGTGACTTTTACGATATACTCTATCGCGTTTATCAGATGTCTCCAAAAAAACACGGAAAAGTTTGTCATAAATATATCTTGTAATCTAGATAAATTTCATTAAACACGCGCGGAAAACAAACATTTTTACCGAATCTTTTCGATGTAGAAAAGTCGAGATTAGAGGTCGCGAAAATCCGAAAAACAAATTATTGTCGAATCTCAAATATCGAACTCTTGTGTATGAAAAAACGTTAGGGGTCAACTTTTTCCTTACTTTGTGCCGGCGCGTTGCGTCTCTTTCGTCGGATCAATTCGCGACGGCGAACGGGATCCGCGCGGATCAGCAACCTTGATGCACTTATAAACCGGACGACTCGCGCCAGGCACGTTGGTATTTAATTAAAGTCCGGTCTCCATTCGGGAGAAAGAAGCCGGTTGTTACAGGAAGCGCGATGGGTTTCGAGTGCGCGCGGGCAGCGGACCGTGCAACAAGACCCGTTACGCGACACGGCCAATGGCGTATCGATCGCTATCTCGATCGATTCGAGCGCGCGTCTTGAAGTCGCACCTGATCGACTATTTCGCGTGAAGTAACAAAGTTATATATACTTTGAGTTTATAAAAGTCACAATATAAAGTGAGATTAAAACAATAAAAAATAAGCAAAGCTAAAAGTAGTTGATTCTTTTACAAAAGAACGAAGTTGAAAATAGCGAGAGTATGCACAGTTCGATACATGATTATTTTACGGAGATATGTTAATGAGATATGTTAATGTTCGACTATGTTGTAGTCTACGTTACGAGTCTTTTAAATTCACTTGTATTATTATATTAATTATTATATATATTTTTTTACATCGAAACTGTTTCGATAGCGCACTCGGAAAAAAATGATGTTGATCGACAGCATCGGATTAATTGAAATATATTGATGTTGAGCATCAATATTATTGAACTATACACAGTTGCTTTGCGAATCTAGATATTAAATAATCTAGATATTAAATTCGCATATGCGAATTGTGAACGAACTCATTTATTTTACATATTTATCTTCATGACGACGTCGACTTTAATTGAAGCAACTCCGGGGTTTTTCCGTGCACATATTCGCGAAACTGAATAAACGTTACGCAAGTTTCTTTTCTGTTGTATTATAATTTAATATAATTAACAAATCACTTTCGAAATATCTTACCACTAAAAATAAGCGAAGCTAAAAGTAGTTGATTCTTTTACAAAAGAACGAAGTTGAAAATAGCGAGAGTATGCACAGTTCGATACATGATTATTTTACGGAGATATGTTAATGAGATATGTTAATGTTCGACTATATGTTGTAGTCTACGTTGCGGATTTTTAACTCCGTTCTATTGTCTGTCGATTCGTTTCCGCAATTGAAAAATCAACTTCGGAAAATAAGATGTGTGATTTTACGTATTCAAATACGCGTATTTCACGACAGAATCGCAGAGATGCTTTACAGAGTGTATCGACCTGACGATTTTTCGTCACGCTTACGTGAACACGTAATGAACGGATCGGTATATATCACGTTTACCTTATCGGTCTCTCCCGTTTCTTCCTCTGTTCCTCTCATTCTCTCCGCGAGCGCGGAGAGAAAAACGGACAAGTGGTTTGCGGTTTTTCATCGCGAAGGAGAAACGCGCGCAGCCATCGCGCCATCGTGGGGCTCGATCGCGCGAGATCGGGACTGACAAGTTTGAAAAAAAACGACGACCGCGAAAAAGATACAGTCGGTAGACGCTTCGGATTTTCGTTACCGACTCGTCGTCGTCGCTCTTCCTCTGTGTGTTGTCCGCGAATAAACAAACATTAGAACCGCTTATACGTTACCGATATTATCGCGCGTTCTCCCCCTATCGGGGAAGAAACCAAATTTATATTGCATCAAATGCGTTTTTCTCGATTTACAATCGCGAATCGACAAAGCGGATTTCTCGTTAATATTAGCAAGGTGGTTTCCTCGTCTTTTCTTTCCTCGATTCTATAAAATTGCATAACAATCACTAGTGTAAACAATAACAAAGAATTAAATTATTTTCGCAAAAAGAATAAAAGCGATACGTGTTGCAAAACCACAATAAAGTCAAAATAAGAAACCGTAAAGTTTTAATCTTTTAATTGATTAAAATAACAAAAACGTAATAATTGTAATTACGTGCGTTAATACGTGTAATTACAATTACTTCACTTTAATAATTATTTCAGCAGAAATTTAGTCGAGGATTAAATCACTTCAATTTAAGAGAGATGATTACTCTTATATATTCTTTCTCTTTCTATCATTTAAAAAAAAAAGAAAAAAGGTTGAAACACCTGGACCACTGTGTAGATACGCGGAACATGCGAGAGCGCATCTAAATATTCATACGCGATGCATCACGCGCTGCGCTGCGCGGTGTTGCGCGTCGCGCAGCGCAGCGCGGTCCGTGGAGTTATGAAAATTTAACACAACAAATGTGTTTATTCTCGTGGGAAGGATGAGGGTCAGCTTGTTTAATGCGCCGGCATATTGCCCGGCTGCCGCGCAGAGGCTTAATTAAAAATCGAGTTCGGTAGAATACCAGCGAGAGCGAGGTTGGAATAAATTTCAGATACACGAGCCATTAATTAGAGCGCTATCCCGCCACCTCCGCGCTTTCGTGTTGAATTTCGGATTGCACAAAGGAGCTGTTCGAGGTAACATAAAAAAAACACGCGTCCGTATCCGTTGTGCTATCTCGTGCACACGTGTGTGTACGTGTCGATGTCTTCCTCTCAGCTAAATCTTAGAAATATTCGATTATTTTTATCTGAAATTTTGTAAAAGCAAAAACAATGTAAAAAACATTATTAGGTTGTTAGAAAAATAATTGCAGTTTTTGTGTTAAATTTAATAATAAAATTTAAAAAAAAACTGATATAATAATAAAATATAAATAAAATAATTAAATATAAGCAACATGTAAAATTATAAGCGCTTTATCAGCACTTGCCTAGAATCCGCTGGATTTTTACGGGAAGCGGAGCGCAATGCATGCGCAATGCGCGTTTCGTGGCGCGATCGAGATGAAGCGGCGGAAAAAAAAAAAAAGAACGTTTCTCAGTGTTCCGTAACGGAATGGGTTCGGGCACGTTTTACGAGGCCGTCCTTCCCTCGCCGGTACCTCCGCGCGATATCTCACAGAACCATCTGGCGCACATTGTGCGTGTCTAGAAAAGTTCTTTTGAGCATGCGTGGCATTGTTTCTCGCTCGCCGCTTGTATATATACGCGAAAACTCGTGATTTACTGAGCGAACACGTTTCAGCTACGCATTTTAGAAAGTTCTTAATGTTCACGTATCACCGAAACTTTGTTTTATTCCGAGAAATTAGCATGCGGATTCAGCAAACTTCTTTTCTCGTATATTTTAATATATTCGTATCTGAAATTTAAATCTATTTGAATTTACTTAAAAAGAGGAAAAAGACATAAAAATTAGATGTGACAATAGGAAATTATTAAAATGAATAAATATTGTAACAAAATTTGCTATGTGCTAAAAAATTGCATTTGCATGACAAAATGAGGTCATTGTTTCGAGTAAACAGATGAGGGGTGACCTTTACCGAGAAGTAACGTAATCCGTAAATCGCTCGGTGCGCAGCGGAGGAAGTCTTCAATTATCTCCGGAGGATCTTCGTCAAACCCGTAATTTTCCGTGACTTGAAAATTCGATTCCGCAAAGCTACAATGGCAATTTCATTGCTAAACACGTTTCCGCACGATCCTCGGAACGGTAAAAAAAAAAAAAAAAAAAATATATATATATCCGTCAATTGCGCTGTTTAATTACGGTCATTTCTTTTTCTCGCCGTCGTGCGTTTTCCTGTATTGCGTTTCATGCGATGCGCGAATTCCTCTTCATGTTACGTACATCGCGATTCAATAAAAGTGTAACGCACAGCACAAACTCGTAATTCCGCGTCCCACATAGACTGGCTGGCAACGTTTCAAAATCCATCCTTTCGTATTCTCTTTTGAAATGTGGCATTGCCGAGGATAATCATCGACGAGAGAGCTAACTTGCGAAATAAAAACAGAACTTACGCCGATAATAACGCGTACAAATGTGCGTACGGAAATTGATTGATGTATTAAGTCGTTTTGCATCGTTGGTCGGTTGCCGGTTCTCGATCGAAATGCACTTGAGCAATAAAACCGCATAAAATCCAACGGACATTACCGACCGCGAGATCTCATGCAAAATAGATATTGCCGGTGTTACCGATGGCTAGCGAACGTTGGGAAACGCCGTTTGAATAATATCCTCCTCGTCGATAATTGCCTCGATCACGAAGAAGACAGTGTTGTGTCCCCAATGAATCGTTGCGTTCATTCGGAACAGACTAATCCTTGCTGCTTGGATGCGTCACTCCGTAATTGCGCTTTGCTCTTACCGCAAAGTGTTTCGGACGTCGAAATCAACGAAAAAAAAAGAAACTCTACTTGGGGAGAGACTTGAGAAACAGACAGCGGTGCAGTAAAATACGTCTGATGATTTAAGCATATTTTCTCTGAGAACAATAATTTTCATATATAATACAATAAATTAACTTTACATAACCGAAGATAAACTTTCAGAAAAATACGATTTCGTAAAAAAATTCAATAAAATTACGTGCGCTTTCAACAACTATTTTATAAATAGCGGAGATAGAGTTAAATAAGAATCACTTAAGTCTCTCAAAATTGCGTATCGTACATATCCGGCCTAATTCGGGCTATATATTACAATATATGGCAATGGCAAGCGAAACATCCATTAGGTACATAAGTTCGCATGAACGGACGTGGCGGCTGTGCCGGGTCCAGATTCAGAGAATCTTCGCTTTCGTCGCTTAATTCTCCAATGCTAAACGTGTCCGTGAGATCTTGTTTGTGCTTTGAGGAATCTTTGGATTTCGCCGGGAAGAGAGTCATCTCGCCATCACTTCAACATATCATCAAATACGGAATACGTCATTCAAATTTCAAATATGAACAAATTTTTTTCTTACAAATAACATAATAATTAAAATATACAAAGTACACAATTAATAGAAATAATGTATTGTGTTAATATAAATAACTAGAAAACTTTTATATATGCGTGTCTAATACCTTTCGCTTTCACTGTGCCAGTATTCGACTAGAGGAAGGTGTTCCTTGTTTTTATGCGGTATAGGCAATCTTTGGATTGATATCAACCCAGAAGAACTGCTTGTATTATCATTGTCATATTTTGGAAGCTTTACGTAATCTGAGTTTCGTTGAATTCTCTTTGCTTGTTCAATACGTGTTTCTGCAAATCACAATGTAAAAATACATGCACACAATTCACGTTTTGCGATAAAACACCATAAAAATTGATTTGAATACCTAGTTTCTTTTGTAACTGTTTGGTTGTATTCCGTTGAGAAGTCTGCGTGTGATTGCTGCTGCAACTGCTGTCACTACCCTGCAAAGAAAGTAGTTACGTATAATAGATATTTTTTGCTTTGCTTGTATGCAAAGTTTGTGTGAATATTATTATTGCTCAAGCGTTATTTTTAGATAAGTTTAATAATAACTATTTGCAACTTTATCAAAACATAAGGGATTTACCAAGAATAATCTCTCATCTTCCACATGATTAACAATTTTAGGGTCACTGTCAATACCACTATCTTCCATGCTTCAAGGCATTTATAAACACACAGAAGCTTGGCTTCTTAATTCATCTAGAACAGAAAGAAAACACTTGTTAACATTATTTATTTGTGTTTTTTATTTGTATATTTTTATTGACAAGTCAAGTGAAGGCAGAATGTCATCATAAAAACTTATTAAACACAATTATAAACACAAGTATCACAATTTTTAGCACATTTAAAAAAGTGGATATTTAATAAAATAAAGTTGATAGGTTGTGTCAAATAAAAGAAAACGTGTCACTGTGCGACGCAATTTTACAAGAAATTTTGCAAGATTCGCAGATGCTAAAAATAGTGCTCATCACTCTCTGTTAGAAAACTCGACCGAAACAATACATTTTGCATTTTTCTGACAACAATATTTGTACGATTCTACACAATAATCGTCTTGCAACTTGTTGGATTGCACACGTACCGTTGTATAGTCTATTATTGATTTTCTTGGCATTGAATAACCCCAAATATGTAAGGATGGACGACGAGAAGCAAAAACCTAACACGAGTGTCTGTCAGCAATGTCAAAATATCACACATTAAAAACAATTAACGCCAGTTTAAATCACTTTGTATCCTCGATAACTTATTTATATCTCTCACATTTTATTCTCACATACCTATTAATTATACTTATTGTATTATTACACATGTTAGAGAATGAGAAATTATTAAATAAACTGTAAAATATATCTACTATAAATCTCTGTGTGTGTTATTTTCATACTTCCCAAAAAATAAAAATTTTCTATTTGCTTAAAACTCGAACATATTACTTCTACTTGAATTGATACAGACTGACATTTATTATCAGGATCTGATGGGGTGTATCCTAGGAAACCATAACAGACTTCTCAGTATTGAATGACACGTATGTAAAGGGTTGATGTTTTCATCATACATTTATCCCATATAATGTGTTTGTAGAAATTGTTAAAAAGAAGAGTAAATTGAATTTATAAAATAAAAAAGATTCACGTGAATCCACATCAGATCTTTGTGTATATATTGCTAAATACTTTGTCTCTTTGCTGTTTCTTTGCTTTGCCTTCAATTATTAACAATATTATTACCAGTAAATTCAATTATATATTAACAATATTAAAATTTAAACTGTAAGTATGCATGTATAAATGACAGTTGTCGCGGTTGTATGTAACATTTATAATATTTTGTATTTAAATCTCAAAATATGTAGAATCCATTTATAGCAGATCAACATATTGTTTTTATAACACAAATAAACAATGACACCAACAATACCCAAGAAAATGTCTCCAAAAGTGTCAGATGTGATGAGTAAAGAGGTGCGTAATAAGATACTCATTTTGAAACGAAATAGCTATGTAAAATTGCGCAAATACGTCACAGTATACATCACATTGGGTCACAAATGTTATTTCAGTTTAGTGAAGCCAAACTTAAGCATCTAAGTTCAGGTACAAAGACTCACTTATCGCGCCAAGATTTGGGTGCTGGTGACTTGGGTCCAGATTGGACGCGAGGAAAAGTTCTATTTAAACCAGAAGATCAACTGCAATTGACGGAAGCGGTGCGTTTGACTTCTTGTTTTGTCTCTTTGTTTCGAACGACTCTGCATTTTTGCGATTGTTAATTTTAGGAATTGCAAGAGGAATTTGCCAGAGTATTGACTATACAGAACACAAGGGTGCCGGACTCCTTGGTTGAATGGTCATACAAGTTACGTGAATTTGTAAGATTACCTCCTCCGCCGCATTTAATGACTCTTCTGAGCGTTACTGGCACTATAGTGTACAAAGAAGGTGCAAAAATAGAATTGGCAGGTAAAATTCTCTCTCGACAAGAGAGGAAGGATCTTTTATACGAATTAATAATTGTGTGTACATTGTATTAAATAAATGTATTAATTTCACAAAATTTGCTACGGACGTAGCTGAAGAGAAGGATGTAAGTGAGAAACCAAAGCATGACGAAGAGGAAGAAGAAAAAAAGACTGAAGACAAAGAAGAGGAAGAAGGTGCGTGAACAAATTACTGAATTGCAGTCGCACTTGAGGGAATTTCTCTTCTTTCAATTATATTTTTGATATATAAAAATTGAATAATTGAAAAAATATATTTTCTATAAGAACAGAAGAAATAGATAAGACAGTGGAGGCCGACGTTGAGCACGAGGCTGAGCCAGAACCTGAGGAAGAAGATGCGGAGAAAATAAAACCCAAAAAAATACCAAATCAATTTAATTTCTGCGAGAGAGCGGCATTGACATATCATAATCCTATGAGGGCATGTATTTTTTTTTTTGTGAGCTAAAAGGATTCAAGCACTTGTTCGTCAGATTTTGAAGATATTTTAAAGAGTATCATTGAAGTATCGACTAAAATAAGAAATATTTAAAATTAATTTTGCAGGACATGAGCACACAAACCATACCTCCGCCTACCGCAACTTTTAGCGCTAACATTTTACAGTGGACAATCTTTGATGAATATCAGGTTCTCAATTTTCTTTTAACAATTAATAAGTCGGTAACAATAAATCAAAAATGAGCAAAAACTAGTGAGAGGTTTTACCTTTATTGACAGGAAGATTACGCTCAGCAACAACGCGAAAAAGAAAAAGAGAAAAAAGTACCGTTAACACAAAAAAAGGAGGAGATAAAGAAGAAGGCGCAGATAGAATCATTGGAGCTGAATAACAGAATGCTACAAGCAGCAAAAACACTAGAACGAATGGTAAACCAAAATATTTTCGACGATATATCGCAAGGTAAACTTTTGATCTTTCTTTCGCAATACAACTTTTGATCTATCGTATGTTATCGAACATTAATAGATTATAGATATTGGGACGATCCGAGCGACGAGTTCAAGGCCGGCGAGGGCTCTTTATTACCTTTGTGGAAATTTTCTTACGAAAAGACCAAGAAACACGACATTACGGACATGTGTTTCAACACCAGATACTACGATCTCTTCGCGGTTGCTTTTGGGACACGTTAGTGTTTGATCAAATATATTTATTTATTTTGTTCTTTGCGAGTGTTCTCAGACAAACACACTTATTGTTTCAGTGTCGTTCAACACTTCAATTACAAATGGCACAGTGTGCTTATTCAGCTTGAAGAATCCGTCGTATCCAGAATGGATTTGTCCAACAGAATCCCCTGTAATGTGCCTGAACTTCAGTGTTCAACATTCCCATCTTTTGGTTATCGGTATGCAAAAACAAAGAAAACGTACAAACAAATATTTGCTTAAAACTTCAGACTATATAATCTTGCTATAAATACTTTTTAATTAAATTCTAATGTGTTAATTAATTAAATAACGATCACAAGGTACTATGGACGGAGCAGTGGCGGTTTATAACGTGATGTTACCGTCGTCCGCGCCTCAGTATAAAAGCAACGACGTTGCGCAGAAGCACGGAGGGTTGGTGTGGGAGGTCGGTTGAATCTGTCAACTTATAAAACACATTCTGCAACAATCCAAAGAGAATAATCTATGAAAAAACACTATGTAAAAATTACTCCGATTGCAGATTCGCTGGGCTCCCGACACCGAGGATGGAAACCTGACGTTTTTCAGCGTCAGCATCGACGGCAAAATAAATCATTGGGTGTTAAATCAGAACGACCTCAGCCTCACCACCGTTATGACGTTATTCCTGGATCGGCCGCCTATACCGGGACCAGATGGCACGTTGATCACGCTGAAAGGTAATTATGTCTAAGCTCGAATAATCACAAAAGACGATTAAAAAATGTTTCGTTAAAGCGTAAACAATTAAATGCAACTGTTTAGGATGCGGGACGTGCATCGCGTTTCATCCCGCTGATCAGAATGTTTTCCTAGTCGGCACGGAGGAGGGCACCATGTATAAATGTAACACGGCGTACAGTAGTATTTATATGAGAACGTATCACGAGGCGCACACCATGCCGGTATATCGAATAGTCTTCAACAAATTTAACTCCAGCATTTTCGCCAGCTGCTCCGGCGATTGGCGAATTAAGATCTGGGAAGACGAGAGACCGTGAGTCGTATCTCCTGAAAGTGTGATGTATATTATATTTGATATAAAAATGATTCTACGTCTATCTATTCTACATCTATCACATCACTGTGAACCTTACAGAGAACCTCTGTTCATGTTTGACCTGGGTGTTCCGATCGGAGACGTTCAGTGGGCGCCGTACAGCTCGACGGTGCTCGCTTGCGTGTCAAACGACGGCAAAGTCACCGTGTTCGACTTAAACGTCAACAAGTACAGACCGATTTGCAGTCAGCAGGTTGTCAGTAAGCGAAAAAACAAATTAACCCGATTGGCTTTCAACAACGTGCTGCCGTTCATAATAGTCGGCGATGACAAGTGAGTAGTGTGACGCGAATTATTCTCTACTTAATTATTTTCACGCGCATGTTGCACTATAAATTTTTCGCAGGGGTACTGTAAACACACTGAAACTGTCTCCAAATTTGCGAATAAAAGTGAAACCGACAAAGAAGCAACTGCACTTGTCGCAGACGGAATTGGAATCTATGAAATTAGAGAAACTGCTCAGTTTCGTACGCGAACCGCCGGTACTTGTTCCGCCTAAGGACGTGCGAACGGTTAACTAAGTTGGACATACAAAACGCACACATAGAGGGAGATTTTTAACCCGTTGTATGTAAACAATAGTGGTTTATTAATATTTGCTATAACAGACGAATACATATACATATATATTTTTATAAATAAATTGGCACTAATTATGCAATAGAGTTCAAAAAAGAGAATAATTCTCTTTTTATTCCATTAGCAGTTCACATCTCTAAAATTGCCGTCTGAATTCTTAAGAAACATTATATTGTAGTAATATTTCAGGTTTATTGCTCGTAATGTAACAAACTTTCGTTTTAAACTAAATATAAAATAAAATATATTATTTACATAATTGTTTCTTCTATAATTAAAACACAACTTTTAATTCTTATATGTGGAAGTCTCTTCTCCCTTTCTCGAGATTATAATTAATCTTTTATTTAGCGGAACTTGGAGATAATCGAAGATTCTCTATTATATAAATATTATTTATGAAATATTATTTTTCCGACATTCTATTGTGGATTTGTTTCAAGAGATTATTAAATGCTACAATATATCACAAATAAACTATGTTTAAAATATATGAGATTTCAATTCTCTCTCAAATTGTTAAATATTAAATATTCAGTTTTCATTTTCTCTAGCACAGAGATTAGAGTAAAATTCTCTAATATATTATCTAATATATATATATATATCTGTCCAATAATAAACAATAACTACCTTATTTGTAATAATAGAAGTATGGATATATACACTTGAAAAATGTATCTATATATATATTTGCAAATCTAATTAAAAATACGAAGTTCATTTGGCACAATATTAACAGATCGATTCATGCAAGAATGGAAGTCTGCGAATTACCCTATTCCAAATCGAATGATTCAGAGACACAGAAATAACATTCCACAATAGTTATTTGTCATTGCTTCTCATCGAAGAAGGATCCGAATAAGGCATGTAGAAATATTACAATAACAAGTCATCATGTCAGACGAATATTGCTGACAAATTGCAATTTTTGTTTAAAAGACGTCAATGTCTCACATGCATAAATAACTCCTAGTATCGATTGGATACATTTACACACAACACTGTTGTCAATTTCGATAACAATAAATACAGACTGATCTTTTTTTTTTTTTGGAAAAATGTCAGTTTTTGTGCGAAAAAATTGTTTGAACAACAATTCCGTCATGTACCTACCGCGAATGAATTCGCATTCGTATAATCAAAAATGAACTAATCGACGACAAATTTACTAGACAACTCCGGATTTTCTATTACACCTTTGAAATATTTGAGCTCTAGAAAGTCCCTAATGTTATTCGGACACGGTACTTGTCTACCAGTAAAGTCGATGCTTGACATCGGATGCAGAAAGTGTTCTGGGAAATTCCGATTCTTCAGAAACCACGCGTCCTTCGTCATCGAGCCGTTCCACGCGTAAAACGGCAACAGACTCACGTGTAAACGGTTCACTCGAGAGTACTGTACCTTGAAAAACTCGCCCTCCGTCGCCTTTTCCCAAACAAAACCGTCGTCGTCGACGACCGGCTTGCTCGTGGCTCGCATCAGCCAAGGCGATCTCGCCAGATCGTCCCGATTCAGACCGATTTGTACCTCGTAATCCCACGGTAGAATGTCGCCGTGCCTCATGGCTCCCAGTAACGACTGACCTTCCAGCCAGAATCGTATGCCAACTTCCTCCAGCTTGTCGATTACGTGATGGGTGACTTTTCTCAGTCCAGCCAGGCAACAAGGCGGTGTGTATCGATGCTGATAGATATACGACGGTACGCCGTTTATCACCGAGCCGAAACACCTCGCGGTCTCCCGCGTGCAACCGTACCACTCCACGGAACCGGAAGCCCTGGTTACTTTTTTTATTCCCAATTTTTCGAACATCGATCGCTCTCGCGCGCGATACAGCTGTTGCACCTTAACCTGCGCTTGTTGGTTTCTGTACAGCGGTTTTCCCTCGTTGAATTGATAATTTTTCAATATGTGTACCTATACGTATAAAAATACATACACAATACGAAACGCTAGAAATATTTGTGTATGTATATATGACAAACGAATCACAAACCTTTGCGCCAATAGCCGTTGTCTGGATATACAATGAGTCTGTGAAAGGCAGCAGGAAGGGATCTGACAGCTTTCTCAAAATTTTCGATTCAAGCATAGTCACATGCTTGCCTGTTACACTATCGCATTCCGTTCCTGTGACTCGCGTTACCTTCAGACTCCATTCTTTCACTCTTAAATCTAATTCAAGACAATGCAAGACAATTTTACCTACTGGTACAACAACTATTCCTAGATTTGACACTTGTGAAACAGTCTCCTGCAAAAACACAGGTGAGAATAAGTCTGTATGTTACAAACACTTACATCACACGAGAGGAATTTACCTGTACAACTTGCTTAGTCGATAATCTAGTAGCGTCAGGCAAGAATAAGACAAACTTGGTACGTATGTAGAAGAGAGGATTTCTCTCCTCGAAGGACTTGTTGAATTCAGGCTGCAAGCTGATCAGCTTGACGTTTCTCATGCTCTTGTTAGTAAAATCTAGTTCTAACGGCGGATACGGCAGCTCGTCGCATATTATCAGAATCGGTATTCCCGGAAAGGAATTCAAGACGGATCCCACCAATGACGCCACGTCGTTCTCGAAGCTCTCGAACTGTCTGATGACTATGGTGACCATGCGAGCTATTCGCCGGTGAAGCTTCTGCGGCGGTTCGTTTGTCGCAACGCTTGGCGTCAGCAGACCGAGAGTGTTCTGCGCCGTGAACAACCGCCATATCCTGTGCCAGACGATGATGTTGCCTAACAGCGCGAGCACCAGGACCACTCTGATGATTTTGAGGCGCATTATTGCGGCGCGCCAAGCGGTTTCATGTTATGTCATCGATGTAACCGCCGCATCTCACTCCGACGTGCTCGAGCTCCGGCGAACGTGCGTCAACTCGTCGAAAGACGTTATTGGCGCAACGAGACGATGATTCGCCATGTTAAACTCACGTACGGGTCATCTCGTTCAATTAAACGAGATCTCACGCACATACAAGATGATTGAATGCTTCAATTAAGTTTTATTCCTCTACGTAGGCGGACGAACGCCCACGAGTCGTTCGAGTGCTATTTTGAGGTTAAGCGATCGAGGTTAATCTAGATTTCTGCGTTGCGAAGTGAATTGTGTATCAAAAACAGAAACTCGAGAACGGCCACGGGCGTGTTTCGCGCGTTCCCATCGACAAGCGCCAGAATGTCCACGTTTTGTGCAAACGAACTACACGAATCGATCCATTAAAAAAAAAAGTCTTACTAAAGAAAAGTCTTAAATTACCTGTTCCAGGACGTGTTCCCGCCTTTGAATGCCGCGATATCACAACCACGCTTTGTGCGTATCACACATTCAAATCAATTCACCGAGTAAAGATGCGAACTTTTGATTTGGTTCTCTGTTCTGTGAAGTGTGCGGCGCTTTACCGCGCACGCGTCGACTCGCGATGTTTCGATTATCGATTATCGATGATTAGACACTGTCGGAAGCTCCAGAATCCGAGTCCACCAGTGCCACGCGCTCGTTAAGATTCTGAAAATTCGAATTGGGGAGATTTAAATGAGAAATCGCAGAACGCAAAGAATAACAGAAATTTTTACGGAAGCATCAGACAGGTTATGTGTATACGTACTTGTTCGGCATAGATGCGTCTACTCTGTAGAGCATTATTCCTCATCAAAACGAAAGGCTCGGTCAGATTCCTCGTAGCCATTTTTTTTAGCAGTTACGTTTCTCTTATCACAACGCAAAACATACAACCTGTCGTCGTCATTTCATCCCTCCTTTTCCTGAGCCGCGTCGCCGCAACGCGCTGGATCAGCTGTCATCTTGAAACAGCTGATCGACAGATTTGTCGGTTAGTGTTCAGGATGACCGTTCAGAAACGCTGGTACCACATACGTTTTTCTCATTATTTTATTATATTATTTCAAGTATGAACTTTATATCCGTATTGTTGCATAGAATTGAAGTTTAAATGTGGATCTAAAAAAAAAAAAAGACAAAAGGAATGACAACAGCACACGGTGTTCCCAGGCGGTCACCCATCCAAGTACTAACCGCGCTCAACGTTGCTTGACTTCAGTGATCAGACGAGAACTGGTACTTTCAACGTGATATGGCCGTTGCCAGTGAAACTTAATCAATGTAAAAAATATAAGTGCTGATCGCGCGCGAAAGAAACTTTTTTAATTTCTATTTTTTTTAAATTTTACAAAAAAATCATATGAGTTACATAACTATGTGTTTATTAATTATTAAAAAAANNANCNAAANAAATGGCAACAGCACACGGTGTTCCCAGGCGGTCACCCATCCAAGTACTAACCGCGCTCAACGTTGCTTGACTTCAGTGATCAGACGAGAACTGGTACTTTCAACGTGATATGACCGTTGCCGGTAAAATTTGATCAATGTAAAAACATAAGCGTCGATCGCGCTTGAATATATATGTAGTATTTTTAAGAAAATAAAATAAAATTTATAAAGCACAGAGCAGCAAATGATGATGTAAAAGGAGATGATATTTGACTTCACGAATTCTGATGTTGCTCGCTAAAATAAGATTCTTTTCTTGACTATCACATCTTTTCTGGTATATCACATTTATGTTGTACGAAAAGTTGCAATGGTTTTTCTTATCCTTTTCCGTTTTCCTTTCTCATCTTCTCATCGCGATATCTGTCATTTTAAATTTCAAAAAAAATCAAATTCACGTTCTCGAATATACTCACACATTTAAAGAAAGTGACCATTTAAACTCGTGCACATAGCACAGAATAGAACCGCACGCTGCGGACATAGCGCACCGACATGTCGCTCGTGGACTGGCTGCGTAGTTTCAATGCGTACCACCCGTGGACATGCGCTAGTTTACGAGGCGGAAAAGTGATTACACATTCTCTTAAGCCCGTTCTACATTGATCGCAAGCACAAATGCACGATATAGATCTCGTAGAATTGACCAATCACGCTGGTCAATTGGCTGATTTGATCAATACGATTAGTCAATTCTACCAGACCTGTTCCTTGCGTTTGCGCTTGCGATCAATGTAGAATAGGCTTCATGGACCTGGCCGCTCTCAGGCTTCTCTCTGGTTACCATCGTGCACCACCCCATGGCCGTAGCGTTGGTTTACAGGGCGGAAAAGCTGTTAAAGTTTTCTGGCCATGTTCTGGCCGCTCTCACTCCTCTCTTTGTTTGATATATACACTCAACGGTAAATTTGCATACTAAAGACGATTCCTTCAACCGATTTCAAAAGTTTGAGCAACTCTAAAATGATTTTCTTTTTTTATCAAATTAATTAAATGATAAACATTAAGTAAACAATTTATTTAGTTTGTACGCGCAAGATTGATAATATTCACGTAAGGTTTGAGACAGCGTACGTTTTGGTAGTTCAAGAAATATTTTTAGTAACATTGATAGTAAATTTGTAGTTTACTTTTCCGAATACGTTTCTTTACTCGCGTGAGAGATATATAATAAACATAATATACTGTGACAATATACTAGTTTAATATTCCGTTCAAGTTATACTAAAAAGAATGAATATAAAAATTTTGTTTCGCTGTTCGCATTTCAGCAACGGTTCCTACTTCACGCGCGATCGACGCTTATGTTTTTACATTGATCAAATTTTGTCGGCAACGGTCATATCACGTTGAAAGTACCAGTTCTCGTCTGATCACTGAAGTCAAGCAACGTTGAGCGCGGTTAGTACTTGGATGGGTGACCGCCTGGGAACACCGTGTGCTGTTGCCATTTCTTTTGGTTATTTTTTTAATAATTAATAAACACATAGTTATGTGTGTGTAACTTGTTTCATTTTTTTGTAAAATTTAAAAAAACAGTAGAAATAAAAAAATTTTCTTTTGCGCGCGATCAGCACTTATATGTTTTACATTGACAGAATTTTACCGGCAACGGCCATATCACGTTGAACATACCAGTTCTCGTCTGATCACTGAAGTCAAGCAACGTTGAGCGCGGTTAGTACTTGGATGGGTGACCGCCTGGGAACACCGTGTGCTGTTGNCATTCNTTTTGTCTTTTTTTTTTTTTAGATCCACATTTAAACTTCAATTCTATGCTACAATACGGATATAAAGTTCATACTTGAAATAATATAATAAAATAATGAGAAAAACGTATGTGGTACCAGCGTTTCTGAACGGTCATCCTGAACACTAACCGACAAATCTGTCGATCAGCTGTTTCAAGATGACAGCTGATCCAGCGCGTTGCGGCGACGCGGCTCAGGAAAAGGAGGGATGAAATGACGACGACAGGTTGTATGTTTTGCGTTGTGATAAGAGAAACGTAACTGCTAAAAAAATGGCTACGAGGAATCTGACCGAGCCTTTCGTTTTGATGAGGAATAATGCTCTACAGAGTAGACGCATCTATGCCGAACAAGTACGTATACACATAACCTGTCTGATGCTTCCGTAAAAACTTCTGTTATTCTTTGCATTCTGCGATTTCTCATTTAAATCTCCCCAATCCGAATTTTCAGAATCTTAACGAGCGCGTGGCACTGGTGGACTCGGATTCTGGAGCTTCCGACAGTGTCGAGCTCACAGGTGTCAGAACGGACAGTAGCGCGCCGCCTGCTTGGGCGGATGCCTTGGAAGAGGCACAATACATCCTGAGCAGATTACGAGTGAAAATTGATACTCTGGTCGAGCTGCATTCTAAGCAGCTCACCAGACCTACCTTGGACGACAAGTCTCAGGTTTGTTTGAATTCCTGGGACCTGTCACTTGTTAAATACATCACTAGCTGGATTTTGAAAAACTGTTCTACAAGTGTTGTTTATCGTTAAAAAGAAAATGTATCAATCAAGTAAGATATTTGTCCCACAAAATAACTGAACGAGAGATTTTAAAATATGCCTGTAATCATCACTCGCAGGAAGAACGACAAATGGAACAACTAACTCGAGAAATTGGACGTTCGTTTTCCAATGGCTATAGACAAGTACAAACAATCAAGTCGGCTGGCAGACACGAAAGCAAACCTGCGGAACGTCGACTAGCCGCCAGTGCAGTAATGGCCCTTTCGACTGCTTTGCAGGAATTGGGTCTTCGGTATAGGCAAGCACAGAATCATTACCTCACACGTATGTTCTCACATAGATTGAAAAGAACGAGTAACAAAAATACACTCATGTGTGTGTGTGTGAGCTCTACATTTATATTCAATCATAATAAATTTTTATAGAGATGAAATCGAGAGAAGAGAGAAACAGTCAGTTCTTCGCGGAAGACCAATCTCTTTTGGATAACATAGCAACAGATTCTTGGGTAACAGAATCGAATGAAGCGACTAACAATTACTGGCAGAGAAGCGAGCAGAGACAAGACTCGGTTTTGTTGCAATTGGAGGAACCTGAAGATAGAATGAAATTAGCTCTAGAGAGAGAAGAGCAAATTGGAAGTATAGTCCAGAGTATAGCAGACTTAAAACATATTTTCAAGGTGAGTTGATACAAATGCAAAATCATATTTTTTGTACAATTATATACGTATATATAAAATATTATATTATTTCACAATTTACATAAATGACTAAGTGTACAATTTTTTCTTTTGCACGTAGGATCTTGCAGTGATGGTGCAGGATCAGGGTACTATTTTAGATCGAATTGATTATAACATCGAGCAGACACAGGTACAGGTGCAGGAAGGTTACAAACAATTAAAGAAAGCCGATTCTTACCAAAGGGCTAATAAAAAACTGTACTGCATCGTGATTCTCGCGGCAGCTGTCATATTACTTAGTTTCTTGTTCATTATATTTAAGCTGTAGGGTAAAAACTATATAATTGGACACACAAATATAAATACGGTTCTCGGGAAGCGTAGACTTCGAATAGGAATAATAATACGGCCGCAAGAGACATCCGAGCATTTTAATATAAATATAAATATAAAATAAATATAAAAAATATCGATATAAATTTTTTAATTAAAATTTTGTCATTTATATTCGGCTAAAATATTTACAATGGCTCTTTGCTGTTTCCAAGGTCGTATTATTGTTCTTGTTTTCAGAACTTAAACTTGTTGCCATTTATCGTGTTCCATAAAATTTTAAAACGTCTATATGAAAATCTGTTATATAGTAATATGGGAAGAAAAGTATTTTTTAAAACAGTACGTGCGCAAGTTTTCTCTCGAAGTGATACACGTAAAGAAAAAAAAACATTCGTAAGATTTGCATATACATTTGATGCATCTGTTAATAAATTAGTTCAACACACCAGTTATTTAATTATCACTGTGGCATTAATCTTCTAATTTTGAAACTTGTTCACAGTACATGAAAGTTTCAGTTCTTGTGTAATACGTGTATATATTAAATATCATTATATAAATATACAAATACAACAAACTTATTTATTTCATACGACTGTATATTTTTATATAGGCACAGAGAAGTAGTAAATTATTTTTATTTAAAAATGTAATCGCGATAGAACAAGTATTGCAGCAAGACCTTATATATCCGTACCGAACTTTTCTTATAACTCCAAAAGTATCCAATTGTTATTCAAATAAGATCGTTCTCTAATAATAATAAAAAAAAAAAAGTGCTGCTTATATTTTATTTGTATTTATACATATGTAATAAATTTTGATATTTATCTGTAACACATATGTGACCATTTTTAAGAAAGACTTTTTATAGTGTTTTAATATTTTTCTTTAATAAAGTAATTATATAATTCTGTTTATATATGTGTGTGTGTATGTGTGTATACAAAACCAAATGTAATATACTCAATATCTGTTTTATTTCGTCTTTTTACTTTTTTTTTTTTTTTTTTTACTGCAATTTCTTGAACATTACAATTTCTATCACAGATTGCGCATGTTAAGTAATTTTCTTATCTATATACGTACGTTTCATCCCTGTAAACATTATTTAACTAATGTTTCTATCAATAAAACTTCTAAAAATCTCACGTATTATGTCACTATTACTATATAAAATGTTATAAATTGTGTTCCAATTCTTTCTTATGTACAATATATTTTACTTTACAGGTATGTGTATCTCATGTTTGTTGTAACACGCGTTATACGTTATGTCCAATGCATTAGGCTTACTGTTATAATACATGTGTTGAGATATATCATAAAGTTTTGCGCAACGAATGTGTTTGATGATATAACACATAAAAGAAGTTCTTAATTTTTGTATCGTTAAAAGATCCAATATAAAAATGTCCATGTAATTTAAAACGTGATAAAAATATTAAAAATCGTCGCATTTCACACGCATGTTGAGATTAAAGAAATCTGACAATATTATTCCGACAATAAAATCGCAAATTATATATAAATAACAATCATTATTTCTACTTACAAGTGAACATAAGTAATAAAAAATGTTTCGTGGAAACAGTTTGTACTCTAGGAAGGTATGTTATTATATATAATACATTATATATGTTGATATATAATACATTATATGTGATGTTTATGTTGATAATGAAGCGTATTCCGCTAAAGTAATCACAGCTTATTAGTATATAAGAGATGCAGAGGTATATTATGGCGGAGTAGAGATACTACGTTAAAAATACATTCGATAAGTATTAAGATGGTCTTTGATGGACTTATTTAATTAACAAACTTCTACAAAAAAAAAATCATTTTTTGTTATCTATCTTGTGTGTGTTAAAGTGAAAAAATGACAAATGCATTTGCCGATAATGCAACAAGTGAAAAAGTTTTATAAATGACAAAAACAATTATGCAATATATTAGAACAAAATGATACCTATTACATATAGGTGTTATTATCAATAAAGAACTTACTTAATCTTCGTTAAGTTAATTCTTAATTAAATGGAATGTTAAAAAGCTCAAAACGCAATTTTAAAACACAATGAATCTGACGTAGCATTTGAATTGTCATCTTCTTTTCCACATGCGATTTTATTGTTTGAAAACACAGAGACTGAGCAATCTCTCGCCGTTCTTCGCTTCTCGTTGAAGAAAATACTTCAAAACAATTAAATAGTTTGGATTTATGTATATACATAAATGTGAACTTATGTACGCTCAAGAAAAATATAAGTTTTCTCTTGTCGCATGGATTGCGCGTGAGAAAAAGAAATATAAAAATAATATCAATAGTGCAAATTGTACAAACAGATTTTTGCAGCAAGTTCTTTCGTATAAATATTAAGAATTAAACGATTGATCTTTCAATGCAAATTGAGCAAGGGAGAAATCATACGATTCCGTTTTGTCGATACATCTCTATGTAAACCAAAGTTCGCTAAGACACAATTGGCTTGTGGGAGTGACTGTCAGATCTCTGTAGAGTGTTCAAAATATTGAAAAAAATTACAAACGCGCCACCCAAGATAAAGCGAACAAAATTGTCGCCGACTAGAGGTCCTATCGCGTAAAGTCCTTTTGCTGGCGCTTTTACCACTTCGTACGTGTAATTATCGACTTTGATCGGATTCGATTTACCATCGATCGGTTTGTCTTCATCACAACCCAGACCTACGCCGTTGTTTTTCAAGAATGACAGCTCCGGTTTGTACCCTAGAATAACAAATGTTTATATCCTATTTAATATTCAACCAATTAGTGACAAATTTATGCATATTGCTTGTAATATATGTACGTTAAATATTTACCGATAAGAATAACCGCTAAGGACACTTGAAACACGTGCAGCACGCCGTGTGGATCGGACAGGACGACCGTTCCTACCGAGTTTCTATCACCGTCGTTCCTATTGAAACTGACCAGTTTATAACCCGGCAGTGACTGATATAAAGGATAATTTATTCCTCCGTCCGCCATCATTTCGTAAACTTTGTGATATTCCGGATATACGGAATCCGGTAAAGACTGCAGGCGATCGTAGGAAGTAGTCACCCTTTCAGCCCTCGCCTTGTCCCAATCGAGCGGAGAACTGCGAAACGCGTGCAGCACGCGTATGTTGCGACAACGCGCCGCTATAATCGCGTCGGCTGCGCTAAGACCAGCTCCGACTACCAGCACAGGTGGTGTGGCTTCATCACTCGACTCCTCGCCTGCGGTCAATGGATTTTCTCTCAAGTGAGTCATATCCAAATATTTTATCTTTACTTTTTAATCTCGCATGTTTTTTCACATACCTTGTTCATTAATCAGATCTAATAATTTGGTTTCCAGATCTTTCAGATTGTGTATCACCCAATCGGAATTTGAATCCTCTCCCAGCACACCTAGACGGTTCGATAAGTCGGTCGTGCCAGTCGCGAGAACCACTTTTTTACATCGATATTGAAATCGATCTCCGTTATCGTTCTTTACGTACACGACCCAATTGTATCCTTTCTTGCAATCGCGTGATTCAATTGAAGTGACTGTGGTCCCGCTGCAACAAAAGTGTTTTTGTGAAAAATTTGTGTTCGACGCCGATAACGAATTTTGTATGCATCGCGTATGAATTCGTTTCGTACCATCGGAAGTATTGCGTCAAATTCTTTCTGTGCACGTAATCTTTGTAATAAGCAGCTACGGTACCCACTGGAACTCGACTGGACGTCTTGTGAACGCTCAGTGTTTCCTGCTGCGCGTCTTTATCCGCGGCCGAAGTCGATCTTTCCAACTGCTCAGCCTGGACGAGTTTTTCCCAGTCTCTCAGATCCAAATCGGGAAGAGACATCCACCGGCTCAGACTGAGAGTCAAGACATCAGGATCCATGTACTAGAAATAACAAATAAAAAAAAAAAAGATGAAAACTTGCTTAATTGAATAACGAGTTTTGAGCTGCTTGTAGCGCGCTAAATTTATTAAACGCGAACACACAAGAGACTTGAAAACAAAACAACATACCTGCCATGAGCCACCAGGTTGACCTTTGCCGAGAACAACGTGGTCTATCACCCTATGTTCGGGATCTCCTTCGGCGGGCCACCATTTCAAAAGCGACGGTACATCCAAACCGGCGTCTACGCTCGGATGCTGCAACTGATCCATTAGAAGAGATATTGGTCGAACGGAGCCTCTACCTTCTATACCGGCGGACAGGCATTCGAGTTTGTAGCGCGTGCCGTGTGCCAGTCCGCTTTCCCGCGTTTTGCCGCACTGATGCTGCTTGTTTGCGGTCAGGTCGGTGTTGGTGGCGTCTCCGTCCGGCGCGTCTCCGCCGCGCTCCTTGCCGATTCCGTAGCAGAACCGCAATCGCGCGGTTAGCATATCGTCGGTCGGGTGAGGTTCGCCAGTGTAGTAAGGCCAGTTTCCGGCGAGCATGTATGATAAGCATATTCCACTGGGGCCATTTCCTAAAAATAAAAAATAAGTTTCTTTTCAAGTTTTACTATTTTACTATTTTAATTAACACATTACTTTATTTAATTTTATATAATTAATTAATTTAATATTGTTCTATTATTTATTATATAATATTCAATTATTTTAATTTTGTTTTAGATTTTTAAGTAACAAAGTTGAATTACGCGAAAGCTCTTCGATGCTGTATCTTGTAGTTTTGTTTAACTGTCGAGATATTAAATGATTTTCAAGAGGACTCGAAAATTCTTGAAAAGAGATAAATCCCGTGCTTACCTATGATGACAACATCCTTATACATGATCTCAAGCGAATCCGACCTGGTGCACTTCTGCATTTTTCTCCCGATACAAATGTTCGTGTAGGAACTAATTCACTCGGATCTTTCACGTACGTTTGTTCGAGCGCGCTAAAAAGAACAAAATATTAAATAGTTCGTTGCAAAAAAAAAAAAAAAAAAGAATTGCGTAACGTCACGTGTACATGACATTTTACATCGGCGCGTAATTACAGCGTAATTACACAATTATTGTAACGACGTCCTCTCTCATTTTTCTGCGAGTAACTTCTAATCGCGTCGGAAATTTTTTTTGTCCTTGCGAGACTGGCAAAATTGTGTCTCGTATGTACAATCGCTCGTTGCAACGCAGCAACATTCACCTCTTTTTCTCGCGCGCAACAGACATTAACTACAATTCCACGTAATTCCGCGGAAAAACGTCATTACCTCGATATTCCGTTAACGTCTCTGCGCACGAAGTCGCGTCCAAACGAGTTGTCTTGACACCTGAAGATGCAACTTCTGCGCAAAGACATTAACGATATCGAATGTTTGCGTACGAAGAAATACTTAAATCGCGCGACTCATAAATTTAATCCGACGCGCTCAGACACGTGTAAATAAAAATTAAAAAAAAAAAAAAAAAAAAAAGTGCGCGAAAAAAAAAAAAACAGAAAAGAATTGCAACTTCAGCGTGACATGTTTCCCTCGCGATTGTAATATATATA